AAAATATAAATCCTTACTTATTTGGGGATAAAATTAGAATAATAAATAATGAAAAAAGATTTTGATGGCAAACGCCACGCTCATGCTGCTTTATGGACCATATAGAAAGATACATATATATACACACACGAACACTCAGGAGTCAGGACAGAAGAAAGCATAACTTGACCAAGACGAAACCTATTCTGCAAATCCACTCTACCCAGGGGAGCTCATTACCGAAATCTTTCTAGAAATCGAAGAGCCTATTTTGTCATGGCGATGGCGGCAGTCGAGAATAATTGGCCGGCGGAGGGTGCCGATAACGCGACGAACCATTACAATCAACAGCAAGGCGGTGGCGGAGGTAGAGGCGGGGGTGGAGAAGGGCTGCGGCAGTACTACCTGCAACATATCCATGATCTTCAGCTCCAACTCCGGCAACGTACACACAATCTTCAGCGTCTTGAAGCCCAGCGCAACGATCTTAATTCCCGAGGTCTCTAATTTATCTCCTATTTTCAGCTTACCCTGCTCTTCCCCTTCCGCTAATCAGGGGAAAAAATAAGTTGAATTGATTTTTATTTAGCTCTATTTATCTGCTTTCTTAAGCTTTTCAGGTAGTCACTCTTATTTTGTTCTGTTTCTTTTCTTCCCTTTTCTTACTAATATCTAGTTAGTATTTAGCATGGGGGACGAAAATTAATGGATCAAGTCTGGCATTTAAATTTTGGAATCAAGGAATGTGTGTGGAAATTAGAGAGGAAATCCAGGAATTGGCAGGATGATGTTACAAATAGAGTGTCTTTACTGTTTATTGTTGGCCCTCTACTTGGCAATTGAAACTCGCCTTCGATATCAAGAAGTAATTTAGTGGACTTCCTTCAACTTCAGAATATACCAAAAAAAAAAAATTAATGGATATGATGGTGGGGGATTGCATTTGGCCGATTAACGTTTGTTTTTTTTTTTTTCCAACATAGGCACACTGAGAACATATTCGGATCAAGTATTGCAACATCTCATGGTTACATTAAGTTTGTCTTAATTTCGATGTGAGAGTGAGAGTGAGATGTGTTTGGTGTTATTTCTGTTGTCATTATTTACTTCTTTTGGTTGTGTACTGTTCTTTAACTGTTCCGTGACATGTGCTGTTATTTTTTGCTTCCAATGCAAACAGTGAGAATGCTGAAGGAAGAGCTACAGCTTCTACAGGAGCCGGGGTCTTATGTTGGTGAAGTTGTCAAAGTCATGGGAAAATCAAAGGTCTTAGTTAAGGTTGGTGATTTATATTCATTCCACGCTAATTAGGATTATCATCTGGTTAGTAGCCTTCAGTTTCTTCTCAAGCTAGTAAATTCCTAGGAAGTTTAGTCAATGATAAATAAGGGAATGAAACCATCAAAAACTAGTCTTAGTCCTTATATGTGCAGCTTTGATGAAATTTATATCATTTTGAACATTCGTATTGATCTACTTTCATCTCTGACTCTACAACTTTCATACTGTTTACTTATGGTAGCTTCCTGTCCAAGCTATCATACTTTTACCTTATGATAGCTTTCATTTTGCACTGTCATAGTTATTACAGCTTTGCACCTGTTTTTGAATTTTTATTTTGCTTCCGTTATCTTTATATGTTTACGAAATGTGCTGGGAATTTTTTTTTTCTTTTTTTGACATCCAGGTTCACCCTGAAGGGAAGTATGTTGTTGACATCGACAAGAATATTGACATTACGAAGATTACTCCATCAACTCGAGTAGCATTGCGAAACGATAGCTATGTGCTTCACTTGATGCTGCCCAGCAAAGTTGATCCTCTTGTCAACCTAATGAAAGTTGAGAAAGTTCCAGACTCAACTTATGACATGATTGGTGGTCTTGACCAACAAATTAAAGAGATAAAAGAGGTACAGTTTTGGGCTTCGGTTTTTTGCTCGCTGTGTATTCTGGTTCTCATTCTCTATGTACTTGTTAACAAGAGAAAAAGGTAACTAAGTACAATTATGGCTGGAAGGTTGCTGTTCTCTGTGACTGCTCTTGGAAATGGGACTTCTAAAGTGTTTGTTGTAGTCTGTTGATTCCACCATAAGCATAACAGATGCATAGCTTTATGTTTTCTGTGTCTTTTGAGTTTTAATCCAATCTTCTGTCTTCCGACCATTTTACAGGTCATTGAGTTGCCAATCAAACATCCTGAATTGTTTGAAAGTCTTGGAATAGCACAACCGAAGGTGGGTTAAATAATGATGATTTGTTGATGTACATAATTTTATATGCTTATCTAACCTACATTGTATTGAACTATTGAAGGGAGTCTTGCTGTATGGGCCACCTGGAACAGGGAAAACCTTGCTTGCAAGGGCTGTGGCACATCACACTGATTGCACCTTCATTAGAGTTTCAGGGTCTGAGTTAGTTCAGAAATACATTGGAGAAGGCTCTAGGATGGTTAGAGAGCTTTTTGTCATGGCAAGGTAAATCCTTTTTGCTCTTTACATTCCCAGCGTTGGATTTAGTAATGTATCTTGAAGCCTTCTTTTTGCTTCTCTGAGTGGTTGAATTGCTATTGTAAGAACCAGTCCATGCAATTGACACTTATGATTTTTGACAGGGAACATGCTCCCTCGATCATTTTCATGGATGAAATCGATAGCATAGGATCTGCTCGCATGGAATCTGGAACAGGAAATGGGGATAGTGAAGTTCAACGGACTATGCTTGAGCTTCTCAACCAACTCGATGGATTTGAAGCCTCGAATAAGATAAAAGTAGTATTCAAGTTTCTAATCTAATGCCTTTATTTATGTGAAGTCTCTTTGCCTTTCTTATATCTTCTCGGGACACCTTCAATCACATGGTTGTTTCGAACTGATTCTAATGATCTATGCAGGTTTTGATGGCAACCAATAGAATTGACATTTTGGACCAAGCACTCCTTAGGCCTGGTAGGATTGACCGGAAAATTGAGTTTCCAAATCCTAATGAAGAGGTACTTCTGTGTTTCGCCCAGTTGTTCATTTTCCTTCTGTTTTGCAACCTTTTTCTTTTGTTAGACTGCATTTTACTTGGCAATGGCTACATTTTAGATTTATTTTCCAGATTTTCGTTTAGCGCTGTTGTTATCTAAACTAGTAGTCATATTCTAAATTTGCGAAAATGTCTTCAGTCTCGTTTTGACATCTTGAAGATACACTCAAGAAAGATGAACTTGATGCGTGGTATAGATCTAAAGAAAATTGCAGAGAAAATGAATGGTGCCTCGGGTGCAGAACTTAAGGTATGTTGGTGTTTTAATTGCAATTTTCATACCCTGTTCCGAAGTTAGTGTCTTAATTTAGAAAATGGAATAGGAGTACATATGGAGTTTGGTTATTGCGCAAGTAAAAGTGTTACTACCGTGGTATTCTGATCTACATCAAACTTCATGACCAGTCACCTCCTTATTATGGATGATGAGAAAATAAATAAGTCGAACGTGCTTGTGCAAGACAAGGTTTCTACTTTTAAAAATGGCTTTTGTGTTTGAAAATTGCTCAAGGTTCTCCAGCTGGAATACTCAAGATTCATCTCCTTTCACTAGATAAATTTGCCTGCTCAAGCTGAATCTTGAACTTTGCTTATCTCGGTCTCTTCTAAATCCTTAGGATCATTAGGAAACCAATATATGAGTTTGGTATGTTGGAAACTTATTACTGAGAGCCTTGAGATTCTCTTTGCTTCTTTTGCAGGCTGTTTGCACTGAAGCAGGAATGTTTGCTCTGCGGGAGAGGAGGGTTCATGTCACTCAAGAGGACTTTGAGATGGCAGTGTCTAAAGTGATGAAGAAGGAAACAGAGAAAAATATGTCGCTAAGGAAGCTGTGGAAGTAGGCATTCTGAGGCTGCTTATTTTCGTTAGCAGTCAATTGGGTAGATGCAAGAGGATGTCATCAATTGTATGTTACAGTTAGCATTGGTGTCATAAAGAATCGAATTAATTTCTGTGAGGAACTTCCCCACATTTTTTTTTCCCTCGAGAGCCTACATTTTCGTCACTTGAGACGTAATAACCTTGCAATGTTTCTTTCACCTCTTTGTTGCTATAGCTTCTCTTTAATGCAAGTATATCTCTATAGCCTGTGAAGTGTATATTTGGGCTTTACAGAGCGTAAGATCCGCGGTGTTGCGTCCAACAATTCGAAGTCCCTGATGGGCCCCGGCTGATTGCTATGAACTCGGAAAGAAACCGTTCACCCACTCGAAGTCCCTGGTCTGCGACTGTCAATCTGTCATGCATAAAAAAGTACATTTAGCTGTTAAAAGTACTTTTATAGTTTCTGACAAACATCATCATTCCGTAAAATTAGAAATTGCATCTTTGGTGCTAGAAATATTTTTAGCAAAAGTTTAAATTTGGTACTTTTAAATAAGCTTTTGCAATTTAAAAAATAAAATATTAAATTTAATCATTTTATCCTATCTTATAAAATAAATAAAGAGATAAATATATTTAAAAATTTTCAAATTATACATTATTTAATACAATAAATATTTCTTAAATTATATTTTTAAATAGTATATTTAAAAGTATTTAATTATTTAATAAGTACTTTTATTAAAAATTTTATGAACAAATAAACTGTGGTGACAACAAACAGCCCTAAATATCTCTTCCTTAAGCCATGCGCCAAGGACGTCAGTCCCATCCCATGTGATGGGATCTGTCGTCGTTTTCAGTGAGCTAACGGCTAACCTAAGAAAACAAAAGCCAAAAAAGCAAAAAAAAAAAAAAAAAAAAAAAAAAAAAAAAAAAAAAAGCAAAAAGTGCATCGAGATGTGATGTTTTTATTTATTAGTATTTGCCACGCGTACAATCTTATCCACTTCCCAAAAAAGCATCCGTTTCTTCCTTCCTTCTCGCTCACTTCACTCTTCCATCCTCCCTTCATCATCTTGTTGGAAAAAAAAAATTTTTTTTTTTTGTGGCTTCAGCAAGCCAAGCAAAGCCTCCTCAGAGCTTCTCTTTGGATTAATGCTAATGGCCACAACCCCATTTGCCCATTTCCCCACCTCCCCAGTCATCTGCTCCGCTTCTCCCCAACCCAACCACCACCCTAAACACAACCCGACCCGCCAGAAGTTATCTCCTTCTCCCTCCAACTGGTGGCCTCCACTTTTCGGATGGTCCTCCGATCCCGACTACATTCAGGGCTCCAACTCCGAGTCCAACCAAGAGAGCGGAGAGATTCAGGGCCATCCCGGGAGGGAAGCTCCGGGTCGGCCCACCAGGTCCAAGTTTGGTCTGGGGTGCTTTACAGAAGAAAAGGCCAAGGAGCTGCGGAAAAAGACCATGGAGTCCTCAACCTTCCACGACATTATGTACCACTCGGCCATTGCTTCTCGCCTTGCATCGGACGCCTCTGCCTCTGGGACTGGGCATCGTCAAGAACGCTGACTGTTAGCTTTCGCGCTGGCTGGCTGGGCCCCACATCCGGTTATATGATTATTAATCAAATCCGTCGACTTGAAACTTTATGATCTGTTACTACGATGTAATTTGGTTTATTTCCCATTCCGATTATTGTTTTTTCAAGTCTTGGTAATAAAATATGTTCGGCATGGTTTTTTCTTTTTGGGGGGCGGGGGGGGGGGGGGGTTGGCTTCTTCTAATTTGCAGTGCTGTATCGATCTGTTGTTGTACAATTTATTACCCACTCTTTGATTCGGATTATTGGGGTTTTGCTTTCTTCTTCAATTTCTGGAGCATGCCTGCAATCTGTCCTTGTTGTAAATTCTAGTAACTTAGCAAGCATCGAAAAAAGTACAGGTAACTGGATCATAATTTCAGTAGAACCATGTAATTTAAGCGTAGCATTCTTCGTTTGTTTCAGATCGCTGTGACCAAAAGGGTATTTCATTTTCTTTATATCCATTGTTTGATGTTCAAGTTAAAACCCCTAATTCCCAACGAAATAGGACCCAAAATATAATTTAAGAAAAAAAATGGGGGCAGTAATAAAATCAAGCGTTGATATAACATATGTGGGAGTACTGAAAGCTCCTGATGAAATTTGTAGGCATTCCCCTGACTTTTATTGGACTGAGACATTATAAAAACCTGAGATTGAGAAATCCCAGAAAGCAACTCTATGGCTGTTAACCTTCAATAACGAGAAATCAAGTCAAGGATTGACTCATTATGTATACTGCGGCTTTATGCTTTCATCCATTGCCGCCGTAGATATGGAAGAGGAGTCCTGATTAAAAGTCATAGTTGAGGGAATTTAGGGACTCGCCTCAATAGGAAGAAAGAGAGACCCTGGAATTAAGTATACACATCCATGCATTATTCACAACTTGACTCCATAGCCGCACAGGAACTACTGGTGGAGTATCCCTGCTGCGGGTCAGAAGAAAAAATAGCCTCCAGTTGGATTCTCCACCGGCCCCAAACTCAATAATTTCCTGCCACTCGAAGCATTCTTCAACTCACATGGCTCGTCAATTCGTTCACAGAAAGAAACATGCTGAACAAGAGGAGGGGAAAACAGAGGCGAGGATTGAGGTTGGGGAATCCCAAATTGGAGTAGCTTTTTCTGGGGCAGCAGACATCTGTAGTTTATTCGTTAGACGTCCAAGGACATCTTTGTACTAAAACATTTCTGAACAGGCGTAATTGTCACACAGAAAACTTGTGCTTTTCATTATTTTATCCGTTAGTTAGAGCGGATTTAAGTTCAAATGTCAAGTACCTTTATAACCGCAATAGTTTTATCTCTTTTCACTAATTTAGATGTACTATAAAGTTAAAAATTCAATTTTTTTTTTCTTCAAATTGAGTGAAGGTAAGATTGAGAATAGGGATTTTGCTAACAATTGTTATGTATTTCTTTTTTTTTTTTTTGGGTAGGTGTTAAGATAATAGTGTGTATGATTTACTAATAGGAAACTCTCTCTCACAAAAGTACCTTTGGGAAAGGGCCATTGCGGTTGAAGTTTAGTACGTTTCAGTTCGTTTGTTGTATTTTTTACATTACTTTGTGTACAAATATTACATTACAGTAGTATTTCGAGGTAAAAGTTGTGCACATAGATAAAATATTTGACATATATTTAGTACAATATTATAACGTATTTCTACACTAAAAATTTAAGCATGTACAACAACCGGACGGAATCGCTCAAAACACATTTGTACTGAATCCTTATCCAATACGTTATTATACATTATACATAGGGTTCATTTGGAGTTGTGGTAACTTATCACAAAATACTTTACCTAATAGAACTTTTAATGAAAGCCTTATTAAGTGCTTAAGCGTTTTTAAATATATTGTTTGGATATATAGTTTAATAAGTATTCATTATATTGGATAATATGTAATTTGATATCTTTTTATTTAGTTCAGAATATAGGATAAAATGATTAAATTTAATGTTTTATTTTTTAAAATATAAAAGCTATTTAAAAGCACCAAATTTGAACTTTTGTTAAAAGCTTTTTAACGCTTAAAATTGCATTTCTAATTTTATTGGATGATATTCGTCAAACGCCTTTAAAAGTGTTTTTAGCATCCAAAAGTGTTTTTTTAACTAAAAGCACTATAATCCCAAATGGTCCCATAATAGTAGAAATCTAATAAAGGTCCTAGTGTTTTCGTAGATCTTCTAGACTTTAATTAGTGGTTCTTGTGGCTCCTTCCAAGAGCCTGCATAGCTAATTAATGCTCTCTCCGTTCTAATTTGATAGTTTTGTTTCTTTTTTCATACGTCTCAAATTATAGTCCACTTCTTAATTGAAAAATATAGCTAATATTTAATTTCTCTAAAATGCCCTCAATTAATTTACTTTGTTGTCAGTGATTATAACCTATCTTATTCATTAATTGTTTTGATTTATGCCATGAATGATGCAATTTTTCATCAATATTATTGTTACAATTACTGTAAAGCTATAATGGTTAGTTATGCTACTACTATTAATGTAAGGGTATTTTAGAAAAAATAGTAGAAAAAATTTCTCTTCCAATTAACTTAACTAATTTTTTTAGGATTAATCTTTTCTACACTGACAGTGTATACACTATCAGTATTGGATGAATGACAACTATGTAAAATTTGAATTTCAAATTTAACTTTTGCACACATGTCATGAATCCAACGATGATAGTGTATACACTGTCAGTGTAGAAAAGATTTACTCATTTTTTTAACCGTATGAAAAAAAGTTAAAACTATTACGGTGGCACGGAGAAAGTTGTAACAAGTTTATTGCAGTAAAAAGAGTGGGAAATCTAACCTATTTCTGTTGATTAACAACGGGGTCTGTTTGATAATATAAAAAAGTGCTGAATATAATTTTTTCAGACATTCAGATGTTTTGAGTGTTTGATAAATGAAAATCTATTTGCTGAACTTGTGTGTATTTTTTTCAGCACAAGAATCCTAGCTGAATGCTTAATTCTGATAAGAATCAATGGAACCTTATCTTATATACCAAATCTACCATTATTTATTAATTATGTTTAAAATTCTTATATAATTAAACAACCTAATATTCTCTATCTAATGATTTTCTATTTCTCTTTTCTCCATTTTGAATGACTTTCACTTCTTTTCCATACTCCTTATATAATATAATGCATCTTGTATATTAATTTGATTTAAAAATAAATATTATCATTTTCAAATCTAACATTTTAACCTAATTAAATCATAGGTTCTATTTTCTTTTTTGGATGAAAAGATATAAGTGCAAAATTGTCAAATTTAACTTATTAAGCATTCAGTTATAAATGTTTATCAAACAGTGTAAATAAGTTTAGCATTAAAATTTAGACATTCATATATTTCTTTTCAGTGCTTAAAATTCAGCAAATTAATTATTTCAATATTCAGATTTCAGAATTCAGATTCAGTATTATCAAACAAAACCTAAGTTCGGGAGCCGTGCACTCTTGGGATTTGCTAATGGCTTCCAAAATTTATATTCCCCTACTTGCATGGAAATGGAATTCAGGCAGTACGTAATTGCGATCACGCTGGCACAACAGGTGCCGAAAATTTTGCTGTTTGAATACAATACCGGGAAACGACAATAATATATCAGCCAGACCAAAACTTAATTTGCGAGATTAGCGTTATGTATTGTACAATAATGTTGATTGCTCTCTTCCATTACCTGCACCAGATGGATCGTTTATCCTTCTATCCCGACCAGAGACCAGGGCTATTCGATTATGTTGGCTTACAACTATCTGAAAAACAACAGTTGTTGTGTCACCCAAATAAAACCTTCCATTTTTGTACTGTATAAATCTTGCAGGAAATCCTCTCCAAATTTCCAAAGATCTAACTATCTCTGCTTTCTGGTTTCTAGCCAAACAAATCTGATTTCTGTGTCTTCCTCTCTCTGAATATGAAGAGTGTAAATGTTGTATTAGTGCTGCTCTGCGCTATCTTGCCTGTTGCATTATCTTTCATTGATGGTAAGCTCTCCGCAAATTCACAGCTAATTTGCTTGCATTTGCTTCTTAAGCACTATGGATTCACGCATTTCACGTTGAAAAACTACAAGAGACAAAATTATTAGCTCTATCATTAATAGTTGGCATGGATGCCACTGATGCATGATTTGTTCTAATTTTACTTGGGCAAATGCGTAGGTACTACAGTAATGCATTTCATGAGCCATACAAATATGATACATTGTTGTAAATTCTTTTGATATTGATGAATTTCCAGGGTTAGTCCCAAATGGAGACTTTGAGGAGGGCCCAAAACCATGGCAAATGCATGGAACTGAGGTGGTGGATCCCCACTCAGTACCACATTGGGAACTTTCCGGGTTCGTGGAGTACATCAAATCAGGGCAGAAGCAGGGTGACATGATACTTCCAGTGCCTAAAGGGCATTTTGCACTCAGGCTTGGAAATGAGGCATCAATTAAGACTAAGGTTCAAGTCGCCAAAGGACTGTTTTATTCTCTTTCTTTTGGTGCTGCCCGAACTTGCGCGCAACAGGAGCAACTCAATCTATCTGTATCACCAAATTCGGAGCCAAAGGATTGGGGAATGTTGCCTATGCAAACCATGTACAGCACTGAAGGATGGGACTCATTTTCATGGGGATTTTTGGCCGAATCTAATGAAGTTGAGGTAATCTTCCATCATCCCCAAACGCAGGAGGACCGAGCTTGCGGCCCAATAATCGACCTGGTGGCTCTCAAGTCCTTCACTCTCCCAAAAAAATCAAGAGGTGACTTACTAGCTACTACTGTAGTTACTAGTACAAAAGAAAAAATTCTATTTGTGGCCTTCCATCTTCAGATGGAACTATTGAGTCCAACAGACGATTGATTCAATTTTTGCATCTCACGCATGTCATATTTTTCGAAAAGTAAAGTATATGACTGAAATGCTGTATTACTTCCCCTGTATATAGTATATACTACAT